TGTTAGTAAAAGATATCTATAAAACCACACTAGAAAAGGTGAAATTGAAAGATCAAGTATATTATCCTTTCGGTAAATTGTACGGAGCTTTCTAATTAAGAGCATGCATAGATACACCCTGCTCCTCGGGTAGTCGAGGTATTTTGGGGGTTATTTCGTAGTTTAGGTAAATTAAATGTTTAACTGAAGGGTAGTGACGTTTTGATGGGTCCCAAATAGATCGTAAAAAAGACCATGTTTCCCTACATCCCCTTAGTTCTGCTCAAACAATTCAATGCTTCTGAATTAAAGCGGGTAAGTTTTAGTATGGATAGGAGTGAATGAGCGAGTTTTTCTTGCTGCATTAAAGTCCAGTCAGAAAATTTTGTGCCCGGAATCCAGTTGTTACTTACTATTTAGATCAAACATTTTCGGTCGTCTTTCAGATCAATACTTTTCATAAGTTGATTTGTTATACATAGTGGCTCCCTATTACAGTTGTTACATCAATACTGTGTTTTTACCCTCTTCCCCCTATTGCAGCGTCCCATAGATTTTTAAATGCATGATAAAATGAAATAAACTTTGCCTACTTTGCCATGAGCGGAATAGTGCTGGAAGTTGGTGGTAGAATCTTTGAAACAAGTAGCAAGAACACAACAATAGACAATAGTACGGAAATTGTCAATGTCATTTTCTCTCCTGTGAATATAATCAAATAAATCAGTGCAACAATCAGATAATTACTTTACTTACCTGAATCAGTAGGTAAGAAAAACACAGCCATACTTAAGAAAGCCATGAGAACAGTTGGGATGATAAGCACAACAGTGTAGAACAAGGTTTTTCGTCTGGAAAACGCAGGTTATCCAAAAGTCATCGCAGTCATAAAAGCACCACCTTACCGTATCCTAACTTGGAATTCAATCCTACTCCTTTTATTGACTAATGATGCTGGCGCATCCATTACATCCCAGATGGAAGAGGCCGAATATTCGGATAGATCAACCCATTCAGCTTGTTCAAACTCTAGTTTGATTTCATTCTCGTTATACTAAAGTATTAACGGGTAGCTCGCAACCTATATACTCTTTAAAAAAACTTTACACAAAGAAACATACTGTCCATGACCCAAACACTAAGGTGCACACTTGCTCATCAAATGGGAAGAACTCCACGTCTGTAAGAAATAGAAACAGAC